CGTGTCATTAAAAGTTACAGCTGCTCTTAAGATGTAAGTGCCCAATTTGACAGGCTTCACTTTGCATTGCTCTGCTTCCCCTGCTGTTCTATCAGCGCGGAGCAGGATGCCATCAGTAGAGCCCATCTGAGGAGGGAGGGGGTGCAATTGCTGTATGAACACGGGTGCAAACTGTCTCAAAACCTAAAAGATTGAGAGATTGGTGGTGGTGAAGATGGTCTTTGGGGTTCCTGCCATGTGTCTCAGTGCTCTGAAGGGATGGGACACATCCAGTCCTTACCAGGGAGGTGCAGCGCGTGTGGATACCACTGGTGGATCAAAGTACTGACAGATGTGTGCAGAAGTGTCAGGTTGGATCCATTGCATTCAAAACCACCTTGACATCGTCAGAAATGGAGATGGTGGCAGCTCCTACCCTTTTAAGGCATTTGCACTTCGTTTTCTAGCACACTCTTACAGGGAACAAAGCATAGCAGCTCTATGTTCAGTGAAACTGCCACGAACAGCGGTTTTGCCTTGGCAGCATAATCTAAAAAAGGCACATACTTATGTGCCATTTCCTTTTCAGTAAGGTTAACAAGCTTGATGAAGGTTCCCAGTGATACCCAGTCTTGGCACCTTCTTGGCGCTTGCTGTGATGTGATGGATCCTTGAGTTACCATGGGGCTCAGAAAGAAATTCCACTGGGTTTACTTCTGTTCTGTGCCATTTCTTACTCCAGTCAACCAAGCATATTTCCCAGTTATTCTGTGCATTCTGTAAAGGTACCCATTTAACTGTGAAGAACATCAGAGGGCCCAATTGCAGGTCTGTTGAATTGAGTGGAAATTGTGTCCTACCAACTTGAACAGCCCCATGTGATGATCAGTATGTGTCTATTGTAATGTGGTTAGATGGATGTAAACACTTACACGAAGCCTTCGTATTTCTTTCCTCAGAGCAAAGATCAAGTATTTATGATATAATAGGCGTGGAGTTTGTATTGCTCTGTAGCTGTTTGGCAGTAGCTACATGTGATTGATGAAGGGCTATTGTGCGATAGGCAGAGAGTGCAAGGACACTGGGAATTTGTTTATCCATTTTCTTTCCTCCACTTCTCCTTAGAGTCTGGGAAGTATTCATGTTTTAGGCTGAAGAACTGCTTGATCTTGCGATCCGTCTGGCTGAAGCCCTCCAGTGTAGAGCTCTCAGAGGTATGAAGTTTGTGGTCGTATGAAACCTAAGGGCTAGGGAAGGACCTAGTTCTGTAAGGAAGGGAACCCCTTGTCACTGTGAGGAGTAGCTGGGTGATGTTAGCAAGCATCATCACCTGCTGTAGGGAACCTGCTTTGGCAGGGGGGTTGGACTCCATGATCTCTGGAGGTCCCTTCCAACCCCTACAGTTCTGTGATTCTGTGATCATTCTGGCATGTGTGCTGGCATTTGCTCCTAGAGAAGGTGAAAATGTTGGGGAGAAAGAGTTAAGTTTAGGAGATATGGTATTCACACTAGTGTGGCTTCCTGATTTCCCCTGCTCAGAGTGTAACTTGTTTCTCATTCTGTTTCCTTTGCTGCCTTTTCCATTTGTTTGTTTGTATCATCTATCAAGTTTATAATTATGTGCTCACACACATAAAATCTTTATTAGCCATGCATATTCTCTATCCTCTCTTTTAATTTTCCTTCCCTCTTTCTTTGTTAATGAGCCTGGTGGATTGCAGATGTTTCCCATTTGACAACACCTGAGACTCAGGTTCTCCAGCCGTGCTGTTAGCTTGAGCACTCCTCCCTCCTGCAGCCCCAGCCAGACCTGGGGTTACAGCCTTCCTTGAGATCAGTAGTCCAGCAACTGAAATGGAAGTTGGGCCATGAGGTGTAGCTTGTGAACATCCTCGTGCTTCTTTGGTCTTCTTGAAGTGACCAGTAGGAGAAGAGGTCAAGCAGGGTTAATGAGAAGGTCTTTTGGGCTCGGTTTCCCATTTCCTCTGTTCCCAGAAGCCACGGGATGGTGGCCAGATGTTGGTCATATCCACCAACAACCATCGTGGCTTGACTTGGCCCCTGTGCCTGACATAAGTGAAAAGTGGGTACAAAAGGCTGTGAGGTGCTTTGCACCAGTTTTCCCAAGTCACAAAACAGTACTGGCATCTTTGACAAAAACAACCAGTTTGACCCTGTGGTTTTAATGGCAAGTCCATTTCTCAGGATACACATGGAAAAGTAAGGAGCCACGCAGTTCTGTCTGTTGTGACTGTGGACGTCCTTTTGTTTTGGACAATGGTGAGAGGAATGTTTCTGCACCAGTATGTCTTGAAATCCTTCTTAACAAATCCTTCCCTAGAACCCTTCTCAGAGATTGTTTTGCCTCAGACAGGTGGAGTGTGTAAATCATCTTCTAGCCCAAGCCTTTTATGACACTTTAATCTTAGCACCTTTTTCCAGAGCATCGTCTTGTGGGATACAACAAAGTGCATTCACTGTCCATGTGGGAATGTGGCACAGCCTCTGATTTGTGTCCTTTCTCTATCATACTTTAGAAACCTTCCGTAGTTTTTCAACCTTGTTTTTCAGCAGGGATGGGTGCGTCTTCTCAGGAACTGGTGTTGACTAGTGGATGAACTTCAGCAGATACAAAAAGATAAACCATCCATCTTCCACAGGTGATAGATCTTTAAATCTAGATCCTGGAACTTATGAAGATTGGCATAGCTGCATGATAGATCCCTTGAAACGATCCTGAGGCACAGCCAGTGGGAGAAGGTGCTGTGATGTTCATAAAGGAAGTGGGTGGGAAGGCTGGAGTCGTCTGTGGAGGCGAGCCACAGTACAGGGGCACCAGTGAATGAACAAAGTGCTCAGAGGGAGATCCTGGAGGCAAGACCATGTCGTTTGACCTTGGTAAGGTGGGGAAGAGGTGGTGGCTGAGAAAGTCCTGCCATTCATGCCAGAGCAGCCTTTTCGTTTGCAGGCTGCCTGCTCCTTGCACTGCCAAGGCATGCTTTGATTCTTGTAATTGTATGCTGTTCTTCCCTCCTGAAAAGCCGCTTTCAGTGTCAAGCAGCATCATGGTTTATTACAGTGTCATTTTCAAGTTACACCGACAACACAATAGCAAAAGATGTGTATGTCATGTCTCATTTACTCAGTAGCACGGTCGTTCAGGGGCATCTTCTGCATCTGCTGATCCTCTTCAAGCAGTAGATTGAGCTGCAGTCCTGAAAATGCACCACATTATTTCTTAGAATTGCAGCTACTGGAATAGTAGAGGTGTGAGCAAGCCCTGAAGAATACATCACTGAAAGCCTCCACGAATCATAAGATCTACTTCTAGTGCTCCATATAATTAGCGATTAAAATGAGTAAAAACAAAGCAGCAATTTTCTTATTGATCCCTCAGCAAATAGTCCTGTCTATTTCCTTCTGCATTGTTGCTTCTTATTAAATAGCCTTGAATAAGAAATGTCAGTCAAATGAATTTAGATTCCTGGTGCTTCAGACAGAAATCAAAGCAGGATTGAATGAGGAAAGATAATTAGAGAGAGGAATTCCACCTCCACAGACTTCTTCCCTTGCTCAAGGAGTGCTGATTTTATCTAAATTGCCAAAGCCGTGAGCAAATAAGAGGTGATGGGAATTATAGACTGCAGATGCTGAGACAAAGCAAGGGAGGCTTTAATTAGTGCGTTTTAAGGTAGAAATGAATTTCCAGGGAATAAATTATTTGACGCGAGACATATGGAGCTTCTTAGAGGTGAAGCGAAAAGCTTTTTACCTGCCAGAACCAGGGCTCACGGGGTTGTGCCTGTCTTGTAGACATGAGTGATGCATCACTGAGGTTTGAAGCACATGGGGATGACGCTTTTTTTCGTTTGCATCCTCTTGCTTGTTTTGGATGCGGAGTAAATCCCACTGCTGCAGATTCCCAGCGGTGCAAAGCAGGATTTGTTCCATCATCACATTTACTAGCTGAAGTGGATCTACCATTGCTGAGGAGCTGGGTGTTAGATGTTGAACCTCCAGGTATCGAAAGGAAGTTAGTTCCTTTCAGGTTCCTTCGGATCCTTTCTTAGCTCTGTTGCCAATGTCTCATCGCACTTGCAGACATGTAAGGGCACTGGAGCCTTGCACACTGACCTTTCTGTTTTTCAACAGATTTTCACAGCTTCTCTTAAAGTGAGACAGTGACAGCTCTACCATTTGGAGGCATATAGATGCCTGTTTGAATTGATGGAGCTTAAACAAAGCCATTTAGCTGGGTGCTTTAATCCCAAATTCACTGACTTCAGCAGTTATTCAGGCTCTTAATTATTCACATGCTCAGTGCAAAGCACTCTCTCACCAACCTTGTTGAAACAGGCAGAAGCGGGGCCAGGGCCAGGTCTGATGGTTGTGTTATAGGAGTGCTTACAGACCCTTGACTCAGGTGCTGCACAAACACAGAATTGAATGTTTTTGCCTCTCCAACACCATTTTCCTGTGCTCTGAGAACTGGAAGCCAAACTCATAGAGGGTCTGGTGGACAGAAGGGCCAGCATCTTACTGACAGCCTGGGGTTTGCTGCCTGTGGTGGTCTACATGAGATAATGAGTGTGACCTGGAAGATCAGCATGTCCTTCTGGATCCGTCTGTTTCTGGGAAGAGCCACCATTCGTGGTGTTCCAAAGACCCTGTATAACAAACAGAGCAGTGCTGTGTGTCACATGAGCACGTAGAGGCCACTCCATCTCACCTGATGGCCTTTGCTTGGTTCTTCCTACTGAAGAAAATTCAAGTCTGACAAAAGATAAAAAAAAACATGCACCCTCTCTAGGAAAAACATCACACCCACTGCTTTTCCTGATGTTCTGGTTGCCTATTTCAGATATTGCTGTTTTGTCCTACAGGTTGATTTGTATTTCCCATGATGAACCAATGCAGTCCAGAGGTATTAAACGTTGATGTGTTTATCTTATGGCAAGATAGAAATGTTGCAAACTTTTGAGCTACGGGAAGAAATGGGCTAATTTGAGATTTGTTCCTAGCCCTCGCCATGCGAATGGTGTCGCTGCGAGCCCAGCAATGAAGTTCACTGTGTTGTAGCAGACTGCGCAGTTCCCGAGTGTGTCAACCCGGTCTATGAACCAGAGCAGTGTTGTCCGGTCTGCAAAAATGGTAAGAAAGTACTGTATTGGTTTTAACAGAGATATAAGGGAAACGTTTCATTAAATGTCATTACCGATGCATCGCCAGGAGGTTTGCTTCCATTGGCACAGACTGGCACTGGGGCTGTGAGTTCTGCTTCTGTGTGGGTGTCAGATACGAGACAGCTGCTCTGAAAATTAAGGCTCCCCTTCCTGTGTTTTCTCATTGACTTTGGTGGCACGGCTGGCTTAAGTAAGGCTTTTTAGGATTGAGTCATGATGTTGGTGATGGTCATTTCATGCCGTTGCTTTATTTTTTTCTCATGATTACTCTCACGTGACATCAAGTATCCAAGGAAAGAGCAGAATCTTTGTCCCTGCATAAAGTGCCAGTGATTATTACTTAAGGCTGGGAGGAAAACTCATTGAGATCAATGACAGAACTCCCTCTGGGTCTGCTAAAACTCTGGCCACGCCAGTAACACTGTAAGTTGTGTGCTGGAGTCTGTGTATGTAGCATTGGCCCTCACTGTCTTGCTGAAACAGTTTCATGAATTGGTCTTGGATTTGGCAATACTTCCAAGAAAGGCTTTGGGATGGCTGAAAGTACCTCTTTGGAAAATTAGTCTGCTTCCAAGAAGGTCTCTCTGGTCCCATTCCACAGCCCTTAGACACATTTCTGCAAAAGCACCTTTCTCCTAATGTAGATATGAAAGCAGATCGAGAGGTGAGCTGGCTTCACATAAACCCTTTCATGTCTTTCCTAACATATAAGTGGCTGCATCAGCTCGTCTTCTCATGTTTAGAATTTGCTATCCTTATGTATTACCCCCTATACTCATCACTGCTGTAGAATGAAAGAGTAACGGTTGCTTTTGGATCACAAATGAAAATGTTCACAGAGAAACAACATTTTCAGCACATTTTCTGGTCTTCTAAGGTAGAGAAAAAGCAAAATACTGGAAATCCAAAGTATTCCTACCTAAAGAATTGGAAAAATTCTGAGCAGTTTGGAAAAGGTTTTCATTTAGAATTTGATGTTGTTATTGAAAAGCAGAAAAATGTCCATAGGAAATGTCATTAGTTTGTCATTGATGAACTTTGGAGAGAAGATGTTAAGCCAGCTCTATCTAACATCTTGGGATATGGCCCATCTTGGTGGGGTGTGAGGTTTCCAGCACTGGAAGAAGACTGTTGAGAGGCACCCTGCACTGGGAGTTGCAGTGGCCATCTCTGTGTCTGTCACCAGACAAGCATTTACGGAGAGGCTCATTTAACCCCAAATGAACAGCGTTAGTGTGTGTCTGACCACCTCTGTGTTCCCTTTGCGGACAGGGTTCCATGCTGGTTCACATCCCACAGATCCAAGCTGTGAGCATTGCTCAGGCTTCTCACAAGTACACATCCAAAGGTGTCTTCATAGAAGTTCAGGAGCTGCTGCATTTCCCTACCAACCCTTCCCCACCGTGACCATTTCCCCCAGTAAATGAAGAACTCCAGGGTACAGGGTAGAGGTTGGACCCTCAGCTAGATGCCAAGGGGTTCATTGTTGGGGCTTTGTCCATGGGTTTCTTGAGTTTCTCTACTCCTCCCTTCCCTCTCCTGTTGAAAACACAGATAGAAAGCTCTCTGAAACCTGGTTTAGGCAGGGAAGTATTTTTTAACACCCTCTTAAAAGCAGCCTATGCACCTTGGGTGTCTCTGGGGCCAGGGAGGCCAGGGCTTGCAGTGAGTGAAGGCGATGCGGTGGTGTGGTCATCCTTTGGGGTGTATCTGCATGGAGGTGCTGTGGACTTTATCTTTCAGAAGCAGAATGAAATAATTCACAAAGAGGCAGAAATAAGGTGGTGCCAAAATAGTCTCTGTTGTCCCGTGTTGATCTTCTTGGATGCGGCTTCAGGAGCAGAGCTCACCCTTCACCTCCCTCTTAACATTTTGGTAACTTCTTATGAAAGAATAACAGAGACGGCTGCATCTCTTCCCCTCTGAAACCCTCTGACAAATCCTAATGAATGAGGATCACAACACTTTAAGCTGTCTGCTCATCTTGAGACCACAATTTTATCTTTTGGCTCTCCACTGCAGCCAGTCAATTAAAGTTCGGTTTCACAAACGCATGAAGATAACACAGGCTGACAGTCCTACTTAAATGACCAAGCTCCCTTTTTCTTTAATGTCTTCTTTTCCCCCCCTTCCATCTATCAGCTTTTGCTTCCTACCAAAGCAGTGAAGACATTACAGTGCCACGTCTCGGTGTGATGAAAAGGTTTTAGCTCAGCCTCAGTGTCTGCGGTCATCCTTTTAGACTGGCAAAGAGAAGAGCTCAAGGGATATAGCTGTTGGGGGGAAGAGAAAGTTAATCCCCGGAACCACACGTAGTGCAAATCCTCATTTCAGAAACTGATCCTTAAAATTTTGGTGTTTGGGGTTAAAACAGAGCCCTGCATCATTTGCCGCGCTCTGCTAGCAGCGTGGTCTGCCTGCTTGCTTAGCTGTTGCTGCCATTAAGTGGAGAATAATTTCCTCTTGATACGTTCAGATAGATTTTTGTGCCTTTCTTAATTATGTCTTGCCAAGGGCAAAAGTGCTGCGAAGCAGCGAGGTTAATGCAAAAATCTGTTGATGTGAACGTACCTGACCCGAAGATTCATAAAAAGCCAATATCAATTTCCCTCCCTCCGCCATCGTTTAAGAGCAATCTGAAAAGCAGATTTATCCCTTGTTGTCAAAAGAAATACCGAACTGTCGTCTCTTGCCTCGCTAAGCAGCTCGCGCAAAGCCGGCTCTGCTTGGCACGGGACCCAGAGCAGAGTTCAGCAGGAGGTGATTTTCGGGGCTCCCGTGTCCCCGTTTGTCAGAGCGCATCGTGAGGGCGATGGCTCCAGGTGCTGCGCAGCATTTCTGTCGCGGAGATGAAAGGTCACTGGTTTTCACGTTTCCTGGTAGTGACAGAGCGCAGAATTATGGCCCCGAGACGTTATTTCGAGGCGCTGTGGCTGCTCCAGACCAAAGTGTGTCAGCTGTTGTTAACTCTCTCCTCTACAGGATCAAAACTGTGCCTCCCACTGCTAAATCCCAGCTCAGGGCTGCCGTGGGCTGCACCATCTCTGTGTCCACAAGCAGTCCTGCAGCTCATGCCGCAGCCTTTCCAAGCAGAAATCTCCCCCACAACTCCCATCCCCCTGCACCTAGGGTCCAGGTGTCATTCTTACCACCCTGACCCCACACTCTGTGTTTCCAAACCTCCACTTGTTCCTCCCCATAAATCAGCTCTCATTATGATGGCACATGGTTGTTAAGTCTTAAGTGAGTTTGTAGGTATGAGGGTGGATAGTGATAGGACAAGGGGGAATGCTCTTAAACTGAGACAGGGGAGGTTTTTCACCCAGAGGGGTGGTGAGGCACTGGAACAGGTTGCTCAAGGAGGCTGTGGATGCCCCATCCCTGCAGGCATTCAAGGCCAGGCTGGATGTGGCTCTGGGCAGCCTGGTCTGCTGGTTGGTGATCCTGCACATAGCAGCGGGTTGAAATGAGATGAGCATTGTGGTCCTTTTCAACCCAGGCCATTCTATGATTCTAGGATTCTATGATAGGAGGGATCCCTACTTTATCATCGCTCATCTCTTCCCCCCCTGCATTTTGCGAAGCCATGGGCCATTGGCACATCCCTCCCCCTTTTGCTGCTCTGCAGAAGCAAAAAGCAGCATGGAATAAAAACCAGACGTGGTTTCAAATGAAGCTCACAGCACGTGAGGAAGGGCTGGAGGAGAGCAGAGGGCGGCAGGATTCCCAGGAACCCACCCGGCTCCCTATTTCACAAATTGCTCCTTCAGAATCGTACCCGAAAATAATCTCAGCTTTAGCAAAAAGTTTGTCGTTGTGGGGGATTCCATGGCACAGCTGTGTCGGGGGAATTAATTTAAAAATTCTAATAAGAGCCACAATAGAATTGTTAGCTCCTTTCCCCTCTCTGAAGTGTGAAATTCTCTTCAGAGCATTTCAAAAGCGCCTTCGCCCATTTACACATACATTAACAAAATTGCTAAAATATTAGGCTTTGCCTTGGCACTTTCATTTACTTGAGGGATAAACAGAAATAAGCGCTGTATGTTTCTATTTGGGGGCCTGGCTTTTGCTCTTAATTCAATTTTTGATGCCACCAACCCTCGACCAAAGCATTGGTTACACACTAAGACAGATAAAAGCTAAGTACGTCCTGCTCAATGTGCTTACTCTAGTGTGGGCTCCTGGAGCCATCCCTGATGAAATACTGGGCAGCACAATGATGTTTCCTAGATAATCTGACACCCAGTCTTTAATTAAAGCTTTAAATTATTGCAGTTGATGCAGATTTCAAAGTAAGAGGCTGATCCTGCCCTCCACACACAAGTAAAAGATTGCTTTGACCTTCAGCAGATTTTACCTTGGTGAAATAGCGTATATTCAGGTGAAGCTGTTACAGATATTTATTATAATGTGCTATAAATATTAATAATTCCATTCGAGCATCTTTTAAGGGCATGAGCACAAAACCAAGTAAATAATAATTTATTTACGTGCACATAAAGCCACAGTTTACCTAAGCTTCTCTCTTAATTTACTGAGAATGTAAACTTGCTGCTCATTATTTCTCAGTTGGCGTTAATTTGAAATAACCATTCTGCAGCCCAGCCTGTTCCTTCTGTCACACCGTGTGTTTTGCCCAGAATAAAATCCCTGAGGATCGTCCCGGCCCATCAGAGCTGAGGGCAGCCTTTCCTGTAACAAACATGCCTTACGTTTGTCCCAGAGTGGATTTTGCATGCTGCTTTGTAGAACAACACCCTGGGGCTGACCTTTGGGGCTGCCTTTTCCTAGTAAGCAGTCTGTGGAAATGCCTTTTTTTTTTTTCCTAAGCAGGTGTTTTTTTGACATCCCCAAGAACCAGAGGGGTGCCCCCAGTTGGCTCCACGTGCCTTCAGGTGACAACCAGGGGAGATGATGTGGGGACAGGGGCAGGCAGCCCCCCAGGCTAGGCTGCTCCCAGCCTGC